AGAGTCCTTCCCAGTCTCCTGTCCCTGACCCCCCACAGGGCACCCTTGACAGTTTACTCATGCAAGTGCACATCCGAGAGCTATGTGTCTGGCTGTACTTGGATGTACTCAGAGGTACTTGGATATATTCTAGTCTTGCTGGTAGAAAGAGTTTAGATTCAAACCAGGAATCCCACTACATTCCCTTTAAGACCCTCAGACTTAGCACCAACCTTTATCAAATCTTCTCTGTCTCAGTCTAAATAAACTTATAAGCCTCTGTAGCAATCATGGTTGTACAACTAATTTGATAATTAATCATGTTTTCGCTTGTGACAACTCTTTTCTTTTCTCAAATTGGTGTTAAAATTTTTATTGTACTAGAAAAAATATATTTTAAAGGAATATCTTTCTGATTCTGAGGATATTGAGCAAAGATATTCCCCTTCTCTATTAGTCCTTAAGAACATAGGCATAGCTTGAATAATTTAAAAGCATCAACATTTCATGTTTATGTCTTGCTCCGTCATTGATATAAGGACCGTGGTTTTGACTGCTTTCCATTTGTAACCATGCCTGGTATTCAGTGGGCACTCATATACCAGGTGGTTCTTTCATTTTAGAGAGGTTTAAGGTTATTATTTGTACCTTAAAATAGCAGAGGATAAAAGACAAGACAAAGTAAAAGAGGACAGAAGAAGTTATACAAAACAAAAAATTCCAGAAAGAATAACCATGGAAGAAAGCTTACTTTAGCATTTTGGTGATAGGATAAAAGATTCCTGAGGTAATCTCCCTTCTTGTAGGTATTGCTTTAAATGCACATATTGAGTATCTCATTCACCCATCCCACAAATACATATTAAGCACCTACTGTGTATCAAATAGACAACACCCCTGCCCTCCAGAAACTTCCAGTCTAATAGAGAGAGGCAGAGACTAAACCAGATCCTTTCAGACTGTAGTAAGTACAATGAAGGAAATAAATAGAATGGGGAGTAAGGATGCAGCTCCTTTAGATTAAATGGTCAAGGAAGCTTTTCTGAGGAGGTGATACTTAGGCTGAAACAGATGGTTGACAAGGCAACAACTACAGGCAGAGTCAGGAAAAGAATGTTCCCAGAGCTACTACATGCAGTCCCACAGGTTGTGCACTGCCCATGCTCTCCATTCACATGGACAACAGTGGCATCCCTGAGAGTTGTGCAGCGCAGCAGCTCAGAGTGTTTCAGGCACATGTAAGTCAGTTCACTTGTATAGTTAATTTCCTTTGCTCAAGTTGACTTGCACATCTACTGACATGCACCTAGTCCATCTGGACACAATGGCAATCAAATTAACCATGTGATGGTTCAGACAAGTCAAGAAAATGACCCTCAGCAAATTGCAGGCTGGACTCGATCGATCGGCTTGTGACTATATGTTCTCCACTTCTGGAGACATGGGAGATGAGCCTAGAAATTAACACAGTTTAAGTGGGAAAAGCTTGAGGTCATTTTGGGAACCAATCCATTGTCTACTCCTATAGTCATAATGCCAGGAAAAGGAAAGATGAGTAATTGCTATCCAAGCCTAAAGCTGGTTTTCAGGGTGAGAAATCCTCCCTCTTCAGGAATGATCAAATGTGAGGTTTGGAAAATAGCCTTTATAATTACAGACTATACTATTAAGTGCACGGCAAATTAATCATTTGACTCCGTGGCATGGTGGTATCCCATAATGACAGGTTAATGGATTCCATGCTTAATTTTAAAAAAAAAGGACCATTAGACTTCTAGTAAAGTCAATACTGTAGTTCTTTGCTGGCCACAGATCCCCTGTTAAACTGGCCTCAAAAGCAAATGTATAGAGAAACTTTGAGGTTCCGAACTGGTTTAATGGGTTTCACAGAAGGGGTTCAAAGGTAGCTTTCTTGTCAATTTACAATTAGGCAATGGAGGCTTAAATAGAGCTCATATGCTGACCTCAGGCTGCTCTGGAAATGAGACATCTGGAAACTGACCCCCTGTTCCCTGAATCTCTCAGCTGATTCTACTTCCTCTCTGAACTGTGCTCATCAGTGTTTGAATCTGTCCAAGTCAGTTCTGAAGAGGAAGTTCCAGTCTCTCCTCCCCCCACACGTCTGCGTGCAGAACGTGACAGGAGTTCAGGGGGCGGGGAGCTGGCAGGATCAGAGGGCAGGATGGGGCAGAAGTAGTGCTCCTGGGCAGGCGCTGAGAATAGAGTCATGCACAACCAGGCGAAGAAAAAATGCAGGCCAGCTTTGGCAGGGGGATTATTCAAGGGCTTCCAGTTGTGGAAAGCAGGGTGGAGGTGTCCATCCACCAGCGCCAGGTGGAGCAGGGTTGTTCTGGAATATCTGATTCAAAATAGGTGGAAAGATGGGTCAGGATTCAAGACCTAAACATTGAGGGTTGAAGGACTGTAGGCTCCACATAGCTACCTAGAGCATGCTTGCGATCTTTACATATGAATCGCCTGGAACCTGGCTAAAAATGCAGATTCTGATTCAGTAAGTCTGGGGCTCTGCAGTTCTAACGAGTTCTCAGGTGATGCCAATGCTGCTGGTTTATGCATCACATGGAATACAGGGGCTACAGCACAGGGCAGGGTCCCTCCTCCTTTTCTCCTAACCATCATGGGCCCTAGAGGAACAGGGAAGCCTGGAGATTGGGCAATAGCACCACTCTTGCCCAACAAAACTGCTGACAGGACACAGCAGCCCAGAGGCTGGGAGCAGTCCAAGCCCTCTCATGCATTCCAGGGCAGGGGCTGAGCAACTGGCTGCTGGCTGAGGCTCAGAGCAGAAAGAGCCTGATCAATGGACATAAGAAAATTATCAAATTAGAAACAAAGATGGGTTATATTTGGTGAATCAGAGGGAAAAGCTTAAAAATCTCTGTCCCTTTTTAACACCTCAAATAAAAGATCCTCATCACTCCTACCCACTGTGGTCAGTGCTCTGACTGAGGTCCCTCTGCAGAGTGGAAGTCGTCAAAGTACGTTGAACAAATGCTTACCCAGGCAGAGGGTGGGCTTTATGAGCTGTTGCTCTCTCGTACTAACCTTCTAGGATAATGAAAAGGGAAGATTTCCTCCAGGGCCATTTTCCTGGGCTCTAAATTGGGTGCTTAATATATGAACTTGGCTATACGATAGCACCCTGTTGTTCAATTAAACACTAGTTTAGGTGTTGTTGTGAAGGTATTTTGTAGATGCTGTTGACATCTACAATCCGCTGATGTTAAGTAAAGGTCTTGACAGTCTGGGTGCCTCATCCAATCACTTGAAAGGCCTTAAGAGCAAAAGAGGTTTCTCTGAGGAAGAAATTCCACCTGTTAAGTGCAGCTTCAGCTCCTGCCAGAGAGTTTCCAGCCAGCTGCTCCACCCCACAGACCACAGACTTGCCATTCCCCACAATCATGGAAGCTATTTGCTTTGAATAAATCTTGTTCCGTATACATTTGATCCTCATTATTCACAGATTCTCTATTTGTGAATTTGCCTACTTGCTAAACTTTATTATAATGCCAAATTAACACTCACAGTGCTTCCACAGTTATTCCTGGACACGTGTAGAGTGGTGAAAAATTTGTCACCTGATGCAGCTGTTTTTCCAGCTGGGGTCGAACAACGTGACTCCAACTTCTTGTTCAGCTCTCAGACTGTAAACAAGTGTCCTTTACGTGGTCTATGTAGCGCCATGATTTTCATATTTTTGTGCTTTTTGTTGGCGATTTTGCTGTTTATAGTGGCTCCTAAGCATCTTGCTAAAGTGCCGTCTAGTGTTCTTAATGCCAGAAGGCTGTGATTTGCCTTGTGAGGAAATATGCTTCATTCAGACATCAGTTATAGTGCTGTTGGCTGTGAGTTCAATGTTAATGAATCAACAGTGTATATTAAGTAAGGTGTCTTTAAACAGAAATACAGATAAAACAAGGTTATATTTTGATCTGTTGAGAGGAATGTGACCAGAGGCTCACAGGAACCTAACCCTGTATTTCCCCTAGGAACAGTGGCTCAGTATTTCCTAATTCAGTGTTTGTGGGGACTTTATGGGACATAACTACCATGAATAACGAGAATTGACTCTGTGTGTGTGTGGTGGGGGAGGGCAGCATGCACGCGGGCATCCACACTACTGTTTCTGTTTCTCTGGAGGCACCCGAACTGATGCAGGTGCAGTACCACCCTCTCCTCCAGGGCTGGCTGTGCACTGCACAGATGATGAGGGCCTTTTGTCCTTTCTGCATTCAGATCTCTGACAGTATTCTGCAGAAGGAGGAAACCAGTTCACTATAAACCATCTAGTGAATGTTAACAGTCCCTTTTTAAAAGCAGTTTTTCCCTTACTGGGTCATACTTAGGGACACAAAATATACACAAAGCCCTATAATTTGGATGGTATTCCATCTCCCTGATAAAGAAAGAAGTAGGCTAGATTAGGTAATAGCTAGAATGCATTTCAGCATTTTTAATGTAATTTGGATGATAAGCCCCAAATTACTTTTCCAATATAAACCAATCAAGTCGATTCCAGTTTGAGTGACTTTACCAAAAATAAATTTCTTTATGAATGTATAAAAAGATAATTAGACTGTCTCCAAGGCATTGGGCCTATTCCCAACAATGGAGAGAAGCCAGCATGTCTCAGAGTGACATGCAGGCACCAATTTAACAACCCACTGCCCTTCCTCTCCCCACCCCAGTGGTCAGCTGTAGTCTTCTCAGAGGCTGTGGTTATGATTCTCACTTGCCTGGTCCACAGCTGCAGGCTCCATTGCTAATTCTAAATTTGTCATCTTCCATGTTGCACTGTCTGACACAGAAGGAACTGGCAAGGAGGAGTCATGTCTTAGTCAAATCCTACCCCGCTCCTGGAATACCACCCAAGCTCACACCCTCCATGGCGTGAGTCAGCTGTGCCAGCTCCGTGGATATCGTGCGCTTTTCCCCACGTGCCCACTGACACCTGAATGAGGCTTGAAAAGGCTTATAAATAATTCTCTTTTTCCTTCAAGAACACGTCACAGCTAAGACTAAGCACCGTGTATCAGCTTCCACTGATCCTGAAAGAAAATACTGTTTGAAAAAAGCTTCTTTCATGCACAGCTTCAAGAAAATCAGAACACCATTCACTTCTCAAACCACCCATAAGGTAATTCAAGTGTCAAAAAGTGTTCAACGCAAACAGAGGAAGGGGAGAGGGAGCATAATACAGTCTGAGAATTTTTTTTTGTATTCAAAAGTGTTTCCCTTTTAATGTTCAGCAATTTTCATGACATGTGAATAGTATTCTAAGCTGTTAAATGGTAGAATGGGAACTGCCTTGTCCTGTGACTATTTTTTTTTTTATAAATTTATTTATTTATTTTTGGCTGTGTTGGGTCTTCGTTTCTGTGCGAGGGCTTTCTCTAGTTGCGGCGAGCGGGGGCCACTCTTCATTGCAGTGCGTGGGCCTCTCACTGTTGTGGCCTCTCCTGTTGCGGAGCACAGGCTCCAGATGCGCAGGCTCAGTAGTTGTGGCTCACGGGCCCAGTTGCTCTGCGGCATGTGGGATCCTCCCAGACCAGGGCTCGAACCTGTGTCCCCTGCATTTGCTGGCAGATTCTCAACCACTGCGCCACCAGGGAAGCCCCGTCCTGTGACTATTGAATTGATACACTAAGTAAGAATGATATACTAAATACAATTAAAATGAGTATCACCCTTCCACCAAAAAAAAAATTGTAGAAATATATGTAGTAAACAAACTGATTGAGTCAAATTATTTCAACCAGAAAAAAAATGTCAAAAATGGCTAAACAGGACTAACTCTTATGAAGTTTGGCTTATAGGGCCCATCTCTCCCTGTGGCTCTTTGTCCTACATTTTCCCACCCTTCTGGTCACCTCCCTTCCCCCACACCAGGTGTCAGGTCCTCCTTCCCCTGCTCTCAGCTGGTTGCTCCTTTCAAAAGGATTCAATTAAGTCAGGGGTTGGAAACAACAGCCATCGGGCCAAATGGAGCCCATCTCTTGTTTTTGTAAATGAAATTTTATAGAAACCCGGCCATGCTTATTCCTTACCTCAATGGCTGCCTCTGCCTTACACTCACAAGAGTTGAGTAGCTCCAACAGAGACCTTACGGCCCACAAAGCTTAAAATATTTACTATTTGATCCTTTATAGAAAAAGTCTGCTAGCCCCTGAACCAAGTCCCTCGCACTAAGGTATTACAGTTTTAATATGTTACTTCTCCAGGAGAAGAGATCCATTACTTGGATTTTAATAGGAGGTAACTTCTTAATTTAAAGAAAGTAATGGCTAATAGCAGGCTTCTACTCACCGGCAGTGGGATACTCAGGAGATACTTTGGGGTAGGGGCATTTCTTAAGTTCAGTTACTATCTATTCCACCTGCCCATCAACCCAGTTGTGGGACCACCTACTGAGGATTTTGATAAAGGGTTACAATTGTTTGGAGAAAGACTTGAAAGCGAGGTCGGTCTGAAAGCAGTTTGGGACTGCTGCAGCTGGCATTGTGGAGAGGAAAACACACAACCCAAGAGATTATAATTTGTCTCCGCCTGACTCAAATGTTTATTCTTATCACTTAAAGACTAACAAAAACATTCTGAGGTCCAGTTAAAGAGAGTCAGATTCCTGACTTTGGTTGTCCCCTAATCTTTTGCCTTTTTACTTTTCACAGATATCTAACTTCACAAAAATAAATCTTCTTTATGGCACACCAAAGATTTTCTCTCTGAAGTTCCCATGAGCGGTGTTATTTATCTATAAAGAAGTCTCCTCCAAGAAAGCAGCAACAGCGAGCTCATGGTGCAGCCTTTCTTCCAGAACTGAGGGGCTCGATTCTCACTGGCATTATTAGGCAGACTTCATGAAACTTTGAAATGGCCGCTGTACCAAATGGAAACAGAGCATCTGGTTTCCCATCTCAAGGTGATGCACGGGATTGATGGTCACTCCTAACATTCGTTTGTTCAGTATATTACATCCGAAAATGTTCTCCTAAACATTCTCTTGTTTAATTCTCAGGACAATCCTTTGACATGAAAATTGTCATCCCCTTTTTACAGGTAAGGAAATGAAGGATGTGAAGGGTTAAATGACTCACCCTAGATCAAACAGCTGTTGAAGGTGGATTCAGAAGAAAAAGTCAGGTCTTCAGAGTTCTCTCAGGGTAGGGGTTTATTCTCTGAGCTCATGCTGGAGGAAATCGGGGGCCTCGTCAAGAGCAGTGAGACTAGTGCAGTCGTTTGTGGAAGTCTTGAAGGTCACGGTTTTGTCACTTCCGGTACAAGAGTGGTAAGTGGCAGCCTAAAGAGGTAGAGGCTTCATTCAGATGTGCCTATGAGCTGCCCAAGGTGAGCACCAGGATGTCATCCCACACGGTTCCTGGACCCTCCTGGGATGGGGCTCATATAGCACTAGCACTTCAGCGGGGCTTTGTGCAAAATAGAAAATGGCAGGCCAATTATACAAAGGTGCTCCTTCCCTCAGCTGACTCAGCCCTGGGCCAGGCCTCAGCTCAGCAAGCTGAGTGGGCTAGATCCAGCCCCTGCTCGAGTCCCTCACCCAGAAAAGGCATCATTGCCCAGGCACAGCTGGTACAACCATCCTGGGCCCACCCAGTTCAGAGAGCTCCCTTCACCAAGAGGGGATGTTTCTCAAAGGAAAGATAACCTTACTGAGAAGAACTGAATCCATACGGGACCATAAACACTGCACAGTTTACCAAGAAGGTGCCAGTTACAGTCTAAACTTAGTATGGTTTGGGTAGTGAGGACAGTCTTTCTGAGCTGGAGAACTAGAGCTGGTCCCAGTCCAGCTCATCTCCCTTACCTGGTCCTCCCTCTTAGCTAAGCCCCTCTCTGTATCCCACTCAAGCCCATTTCTCCCATTAATTTAAGTGCTGCCTCACTGAATGGAAACTTCCTTGAACTGGAGGGAACACACAGCTAGCAGAAGGGTGTAATTATTCTTTGTGAGTGGATGGGTGGCCACCCCCTCCAGCATGTCTCTGTCACACCAAGACAGGCAACCCTGCTGGGCTAGGACATCTCCTCCAAGACTACACATTTCCAAGACACCAGCTGCCATCAGAACATCCTGGGTCTCTCCCCGTTCCTCCTCTAAATGTTCTTGGGAGCCCATATCATCCTCTAGGCCACTGGGCAAAGTCCAGCTGAGCTCATTAATCATATACACTCACCTTTCCTTGCTCAGAAATCAAAGGCAGCAAGAGCTCACAATCCTCCGTTGAATTGTGTTTTCATAGGATTTGAAGGAAGAATGGATCCAAGAGCAAAAAGGCAGCTCCACCTAACCCTGGGAAGGACCGGTAAGCAACTCAGGGTGCAGCTACTAAGAAAGCAGGAGGAAAGTGAGCTGGAAGCTACTTTTCTTCATGTAGAAATGAATCCTCAGACTAAAAGTTTCAATTTACACTGAACACATTCAATTTTTTTAAATTAATTTTTATAGGAGTATAGTTGCTTTGCAATGTTGTGCTAGTTTCTTGCTGTACAGCGAAGTAAATCAGTCATATATATACATATATCCACTCTTTTTTCGATTTCCTTCCCATTTAGGTCACCACAGAGCATTGAATAGAGTTCCCTGTGCTATACAGTAGGTTCTCATTAGTTATCTGTTTTATACATAGTTGTGTATATATGTCAGTCCCAATCTTCCAGTTCATCCCACCCCCACTTCCCCGCCTTGGTAACCACACGTTTGTTCTCTACATCTGTGACTGTATTTCTGTTTTGCAAATAAGTTCATCTCTACCGTTTTTCTAGATTCCACATATAAGCGATATTATATGATATTTGTTTTCCTCTTTCTGGCTTACTTCACTCTGTATGACAGTCTCTAGGTCCATCCACGTCTCTGCAAATGGCACAGTTCCATTCCTTTTTATGGCTGAGTAATATTCCACTGTGTATAAATATGTACCACATGAACACATTAAATTTAAAGGTGCCTTGCCTTGCACTTATACAGTGTGCCAAAAGGGGTGCTGAAATCATTTCCAGTCTTGTTCTGATAACTACTACCACCATGGTCCACATAAAAATGGTTGAGCAAGTGAGTATGTTTCAACTTGCCGTCACCTTTTCTTTTTTTTTTTCCCCGCCACCACGAACTGCCCGCCCCCCACTTTCCCCCCTTGGTGTCCATACATTTGTTCTCTACACCTGTGTCTCTATTTCTGCCTTGCAAACCGGTTCATCTGTACCATTTTTCTACATTCCACATATATGCGTTAATATATGATATTTGTTTTTCTCTTTCTGAGTCACTTCACTCTGTATGTTAGTCTCTAGGTCCATCCACATCTCTACAAATGACCCAATATCGTTCTGTTTTTACGGCTGAGTAATATTCCATTGTATATATGTACCACATCTTCTTTATCCATTCGTCTGTCGATGGGCATTTAGGTTGCTTCCATGACCTGGCTATTATAAATAGTGCTGCAATGAACATTGGGGTAGATGTGTCTGTTTGAATTACGGTTTTTCTCTGGGTATATGCCCAGTAATGGGATTGCTGGCTATAAGGTAATTCTATTTTTAGTTTTTGAAGGAACCTCCATACTGTTCTCCATAGTGGCTGTATCAATTTACATTCCCACCAACAGTGCAAGGAGGTACCTTTTCTCCATAGCCTCTCCAGCATTTGTTGTTTGTAGATCTTCTGATGATGCCCATTCTAACTGGTGTGAGGTGATACCTCATTGTAGTTTTGATTTGCATTTCTCTAACAATTAGTGATGTTGAGCAGCTTTTCATGTGCCTCTTGGCCATCTGTATGTCTTCTTTGGAGAAATGTCTATTTAGCTCTTCTGCCCATTTTTTGATTGGGTTGTTTGTTTTTTTAATATTGAGCTGCATGAGCTGTTTATATATTTTAGAGATTAATCCTTTGTCCATTGATTCATTTGCAAATACTTACTTCCATTCTGAGGGTTGTCTTTTTGTCTTGTTTATAGTTTCCTTTGCTGTGCAAAAGCTTTTAAGTTTCATTAGGTCCCATGTGTTTATTTTTGTTTTTATTTCCATTACTCTAGGAGGTGGGTCAAAAAATATCTTACTGTGATTTATGTCAAAGAGTGTTCTTCCTATGTTTTCCTCTAAGAGTTTTACAGTGTCCAGTCTTATATTTAGGTCTCTAATCCATTTTGAGTTTATTTTTGTGTATGGTGTTAGGGAGTTTTCTAATTTCATTCTTTTACATGTAGCTGTCCAGTTTTCCTAGCACCACTTATTGAAGAGACTGTCTTTTCTGCATTGGCTCTCCTCGCCTCCTTTGTCATAAATTATTGACCATAAGTGCATGGGTTTATCTCTGGGCTTTCTATCTTGTTCCATTGATCTATATTTCTGGTTTTGTGCCAGTACCATATTGTCTTGATTACTGTAGCTTTGTAGTATAGTCTGAAGTCAGGGAGCCTGATTCCTCCAGCTCTGTTTTTTACCCTCAAGATTGCTTTGGCTATTCGGGGTCTTTTGTATTTCCTTACAAATTTTAAGATTTTTTTTTTTATAGTTCTGTAAAAAATGCCACTGGTAGTTTGATAGAGATTGCATTGAATCTGTAGATTGCATTGGGTAGTATAGTCATTTTCACAGTATTGATTCTTCCAATCCAAGAACATGGTATATCTTTCCATCTGTTGGTATCATCTTTAATTTCTTTCATTAGTGTCTTACAGTTTTCTGAATACAGGTCTTTTGTCTCCCTAGATTTTTTATTCTTTTTGTTACAATGGTAAATGGGAGTGTTTCCTTAATTTCTCTTTCTGGTCTTTTGTTGTTAGTGTATAGGAATGAAAGAGTTTTCTGTGCATTAATTTTGTATCCTGCAACTTTACCAAATTCAATGATTAGCTCTAGTAGTTTTCTGGTGGCATCGTTAGGATTCTCTATGTCTAATATCATGTCATCTGCAAATAGTGACAGTTTTATTTCTTCTTTTCCAATTTGTATTCCTTTTATTTCTTTTTCTTCTCTGATTACTGTGGCTAGGACTTTCAAAGCTATGTTGAATAATAGTGGTGAGAGTGGACATCCTTGTCTTGTTCCTGATCTTAGAGGAAACGGTTTCAGTTTTTCACCATTGAGAATGATGTTTGCTGTGGGTTTGTCATATATGGCCTTTATTATGTTGAGGTAGGTTCCTCTATGTCCACTTTCTGGAGATTTTTTTTTATCATAAATAGGTGTTGAATTTTGTCAAAAGCTTTTTCTGCATATATTGAGATGATCATATGGTTTTTATTCTTCAGTTTGTTAATATGGTGTATCACTTTGATTGATTTGTGTATACTGAAGAATCCTTGCGTCCCTGGGATAAATCCCACTTGATCATGGAGTATGATCCTTTTAATGTGTTTTTGAACTCTGTTTGCTAGTATTTTGTTGAGGATTTTTGCATCTGTCTTCATCAGTGATATTATTGCTTTTTTTCATAGTGATATATTGCTTTTTTTGTAGTATCTTTGTCTGGTTTTGATATCAGGGTGATGGTGGCCTCATAGAATGAGTTTGGGAGTGTTTCTTCCTCTGCAATTTTTTGGAAGAGTTTGAGAAGGATGGGTGTTAGCTCTTCTCTAAATGTTTGATAGAATTCACCTGTGCAGCCATCTGGTCCTGGACTCTAGTTTTTTGGAAGATTTTTAATCACAGTTTCAATTTCATTACTTGTGATTGGTCTGTTCATATTTTCTGTGTCTTCCTGTTTCAGTCTTGGAAGTTATACCTTTCTAAGAATGTGTCCATTTCTTCCAGGTTGTCCATTTTATTGGCATAGAGTTGCTTGTAGTAGTCTCTTAGGATGCTTTATATTTCTGTGGTGTCCGTTGTAACTTCTCCTTTTTCATTTCTAATTTTATCGATTTGAGTCCTCTCCCTCTCTTTCTTGATGAATCTGGCTAAAGGTTTATCAATGTTGTGGATCTTCTCAAAGAACCAGCTTTTAGTTTTATTGATCTTTACTATTGTTTTCTTTGTTTCTATTTCATTTATTTCTGCTCTGATCTTTATGATTTCTTTCCTTCTACTAACTTTGGGTTCTGTTTGTTCCTCTTTCTCTGGTTCCTTTAGGTGTAAGGTTAGATTGTTTATTTGAGATTTTTCTTGTTTCTTGAGGTAGGTTTGTATAGCTATAAACTTCCCTCTTAGAACTGCTTTTGCTGCATCCCATAGGTTTTGGATCGTCGTGTTTTCATTGTCATTTGTTTCCAGGTATTTTTTGATTTCCTCTTTGATTTCTTCAGTGATCTCTTGGTTATTTAGTAACGTATTATTTAGCCTCCATGTGTTTGTGTTTTATACGTTTTTTTCCCCCTGTACTTTATTTCTAATCTCATAGTGTTTTGGTCAGAAAATATGCTTGGTATGATTTCAATTTTCTTAAATTTACTGAGTCTTGATCTGTGACCCAAGATGTGATCTATCCTGGAGAATGTTCTGTGTGCACTTAAGAAGAAAGTGTAATCTTCTGTTTTTGGATGCAATGTCCTGTAAATATCAGTTAAATCTATCTGGTCTATTGTGTCATTTAAAGCTTGTGTTTCCTTATTAGTTTTCTGCCTGGATGATGTGTCCATTGGTGTAAGTGAGGTGTTAAAGTCCCCCAGTATTACTGTGTTATTGTAGATTTCCTCTTTTATAGCTGTTAGCAGTTGCCTTACGTATTGAAGTGCTCCTGTGTTGGGTGCATATATATTTATAATTGTTATGTCTTCTTGGATTGATCCCTTGATCATTATGTAGTGTCCTTCCTTGTCTCTTGTAACATTCTTTATTTTAAAGTCTATTTTATGTGATATGAGTATTGCTACTCCAGCTTTCTTTTGATTTCCATTTGCATGGAATATCTTTTTCCATCCCCTCACTTTCAGTCTGTATGTGTCCCTAGGTCTGAAGTGGGTCTCTTGTAGACAGCATATATATAGGTCTTGTTTTTGTATCTATTCAGAGAGCCTGTGACTTTTGGTTGGAGCATTTAATCCATTCACATTTAAGGTGATTATTGATATGTATGTTCCTATTACCATTTTCTTAATTGTTTTGGGTTTGTTTTTGTAAGTCCTTTTCTTTTTCTTTTTTTTAACATCTTTATTGGAGTATAATTGCTTTACAATGGTGTGTTAGTTTCTGCTTTATAACAAAGTGAATCAGTTATACATATACATATGTTCCCATATCTCTTCCCTCTTGTGTCTCCCTCCCTCCACCCTCCCTATCCCACCCCTCTAGGTGGTCACAAAGCACCGAGCTGATCTCCCCGTGCTATGCAGCTGCTTCCCACTAGCTATCTATTTTACGTTTG